GTTTCATGACCTTGGTTTCATTCCTAACAATATGTCAGCACTCTCCCCATTTCCGCCTTGGGTTCCCCGTTTCCTGTCGTCCTGATTTTCTACCCCTTCCTGCCTTCTCATCTTTGCTTTTGGGCAAATAGTACCCTTTTGATCTCATATAATTGATTGTTCTAAGAAGTACGTTCCTCTTGAGTGTTATCTTACAGGTTTGTCTATTGCTTGGCTGGGAGGTGGTCTCTGGAAATGGCTTCAGTTCCAGGTCAGAAGGGTATCTTAGGGCCATAGTCTCAGGGGTTCTTCCGGTTTCTATCAGACCTGTAAGTCTGGTCTTTTTTGTGAATTTGATTTTTTGTTCTATAATTTTCTCCCACTCTGTCCAGGACCCTCTGTTGTGATCCCAGTCAGAGCAGTTGGTAGTAGTGGCCTGGCACCATCTAGTTCTTCTGGTGTTGGGGTCATGTAGGCTGTGGTTCATGTGGTCCATTAGCCCTTTGGACAAATTGCTCCCTTGAGTCTTTGGTTTTCTTCACTCTGCTTTGCTCTGGATAGGAAGAGACCAATAGTTGTATCTTAGATGGCCACTCAAGCTTTTAAGACCCCAGATGCTACTCACCAAAGTAGGATACAGAACAGTGTCTTTATGAGCTATGTTGTGCCAGTTGACATAGATGTCCCCAGAGTCTGTGGTCCTTTGTCTTCTAGCCTAGGTGTAATGAATTCTTAATCTCAACTTTAGTACTCAGGGGATATGGCCTGGTCACTAAACACCTGGAATCTAATCCTGCCTCTTCCTCTTGACAGATGAGGGATCAGAACAGGTTATTTAGCATCCCTGCTTCTGAGGTCTTGGGGATCTAACTAGCATTGTAAATAAAATTGCAAACAGAACTCAGTTATACAAAAAAAGCCTGTGGCCTTCAAATTACGGTAAGTCCTAAGGGTCAGTCCTAGTATAAAAACACTAAGGAAAGCTGAGAAAACAGACCATCAACCCCTTAGCTCTCCACTACTGATCGTCTGAGGAGCTGCCTAGCTCCCCACATTCAGTGGCTATGGGGAAGTGGATTCTTATGGCAGTGGCCTCTGAAGTGGGGTCTCTTCACTTCTGGACTCACCCTCTTTTATGCCCCCCACCACACACACACACGTGCACCCAGCCCTGTATCCTTTTCATTAATCAAATGTCTTGCCAATGTCACATCCTTGTCTGCAACATGGCTGAACAAACAAACTCCTTTTACCTGGTCCCTCGAGAAGGCGCCATTCCTCGTACTCTCCAAATTGAGAATACACTGCTCTTGCTGTTCCCAATCCATCCTTCCTCCATATGGGATTCCTGTCTCCTCAGTTCTCACAGTTTTCTAAATCCATTACTGCCTGATCCCTCCTAGGGAAACAGGCATTCCTCATATCCACAATGAGTAACTGACAAACTCATTTAATGTAGCGATAAGTACATGCATCTCTGGCTGCGGGACGGCCTTCACATAGGTGTGTATGCACACATCTTTGTGGGGCATGGAGAGACATCAAGAGGAAGGGTCTATTAGTCATGACTCTTAGTTATGGTGTTAGAACACAACTCAAACTGACTTAAGCAAAAGAAGGAAGGACGGAGGGGAAGGAGAAGAGGGAGGATTAACTGGTTCCATTCTCCTAGGCCACTCCATGTGCCAGGGGATATGGCCGCCAGCAGGTCTGGAGTAACAGTTAAAAATTTGTGGTCTTAAAGAGATTTGTCTTCCTAGAGTAAAAAATATTAGGAGTTTCCTAGTCACCTAAATGAAAAACCTTATTTTTGGCACAGCTTCCCTTTCAGAATTATATTAGGACTGTGCAGAGTGTTCCACAGGACTATGTAGGGGCCTAAGGTTCCACTGGCTGCCTTCTTGGGAAATTATTAAGTGCCATAACCACAAATAGAATTTAATACCCAAGTATTTTTTTGGTGTTATTGTTCATCCAGACAGCCTAATTATCATGAACAAAGAGTATATAATTATAGCCAATATTTTTATTAAGTTATAAAATTTTATACTCCTAAGAACAAGGCCTACATAGTAAATAAAGACTTGTTGAGTGAAAGTAGTAGTTTTATTATATAGTATAATGAAACAGTTACTGGCATGACCCTAAAGTTAATGCCCCAATTTGGTTCTGGTTGTCTAGTCAGTATCCATGCTGGATACCTGCTACCACACTTCTACAGAAGGTTAACAATGCTTCATGACTAAAAGGGCTCCAGGTTTGATGGATTTTTTAATCAAAGAACTTACACAGTGCAGATGTGTACTTCCCAAACCTATCTGACTACAGTACACTTTCCTCAGAGCGTCTCACAGCACCCATGTTCCACAGGCCACACTTGAGGAAATGCTGACCTAATGGTTTGGGTTTTAATTATTATCATTCAGAAAACAATAAATCCGTTTTAAGGATGGGAATCAGAGTTACCTGTCCTTGTTACACAATCAGGCATTTGATTGAAGGCGGTTTTTCATGTCGAGGTGAAAACATCACAGTATCAAGACAGGAGGGGACAGGAAAGCTCGTAATGAGGAACCCAAGTTGAGAAGGGGAGAGTGTTGACATGCTGTGGGGTTGGCAACCAATGTCACAAAACAGTATGTATATTAATTGTTTAATGAGAAACTAGTTTGCTCTGTAAACCATTTGCTCTGTACAATAAAAAAGACAAAAAAAAAAAAAGCATCACAAAGTCAGCACTGGCAGGGACCACAGAGATACATAACAAGGTTCTGTGGTTGTATAGGAAACCCTGGTGGTGTAGTGGTTAAGAGCTACGGCCGCTCACCAAAGGGTTGGCAGTTCAGATCCACCAGGTGCTGCTTGGATACCCTATGGGGCAGTTCTGCTCTGTCCTATAGGGTCACTATGAGTCAGAATCGACTCGACAGCAACGGGTTTGTTTTTTTGTGGTTGTATAATTGGGGTAGTATCTGAACTGCCTGAGGACTTGAAAAAACACACATGGCTGCACACCATGCTGGGATGTTCTAATGGGGGCTGAGCATGTGCCCATGAAAAAGACTCCCCAGATGGTTTCGATATGCAGCCTTTGATCTAGAAGTCCAATGACCAGCATTCGAGCATCAGTCGAGTTTGTGCTTCTTAAAACCCTACCTACCAGTTTCTTTTATTCACTGAATATTAACCACGTGCCTACTCTGTTCCAGGCTCTGTGCCTGACAATGGCTAAAAGTCAAGCATGGAAATTCTAAGTTCTTCTTGCTTCAGCTTTATTCTGCTTCCTCTCTGTTGGCTGAAGAGAGGACTGTTTGCTGTCATCCAAACTGAACCATTTAGATCCTTAAAAGAACATTTCTATGACAGCAGGAGAAGAGTGGGGTGCAGAACTCAAATTCTGGTAAAAAGACCAGACTTAATGGTTTGACTGAGACTGGAGGGACCCCAGAAGACATGGCCCCCGGACTCTGTTAGCCCAAAACTAAAACCATTCCTGAGGCCAACTCTTCAGACAAAGATTAGACTGGACTATGGGACATAAAATGATGCTCGTGAAGAGTGTGCTTCTTAGCTCAAGTAGATACATGAGACTAAATGGGCAGCTCCTGTCCGGAGGCAAGATGAGAAGGCAGGAGCTGGTTGAATGGATGAGGGAAATCCGGGGAGGAAAGGAAGAGTGTGCTGTCACAGTATAGGGAGACCATCTAGGGTCACATAACAATGTATGTATAAATTTTTGTATGAGAGACTAACTTGAATTGTAAATTTTCACTTAAAGCACAACAATAAAAAAAAAAAAGAACGTTTCTCAAATAGATCATCAGGTGTTTTATATGTCCTACTGGAGTTCTTGAGTCCTTGGATGGCGCAAGCGTTCGACTACTAGCTGAAAGGTTGGCGGTTCAAACCCACACAGAGGCACCTTGGAAGACAAGCCTGAAGATTACTTACAAAAGATCACAGCCTTGAAAACCCTATGGAGCAGTTCTACTCTGCTCACATGGCGTTGCCATGAGTTGCAATCAATTCAATGGCAACCAACAACAACACTGTTCTTAAAACAACATCAAAAAAGGCAATCATATAAAGAGATTCTGTAATAAAATATAAATGGAAAATGAAAAAAAAAAGCTCTCAACAAGTTAGCTTAAATAGCCCTTTTTTATTGTGACTGATTGGATTCACAGTCAACACCCATGGAAGCAGCAGTCAAGAAATCAAATGACGTATTGCATTGGGCAAATCTGTCGCAAAAGACCTCTTCCAAGTGTTAAAAGGCAAAGGTGTCACTTTGAGGACTAAGGTGTGCCTGACCCAAGCCATGATGTTTTCAGTCGCCTCATATGCTTGCAAAAGCTGGACAATGAATAAGAAAGACCAAAGAAGGATTGATGCCTTTGAATTATGGTGTTGGTGAAGAATATTGAATACACCAGGGACTGCCAGAAGAACGAACAAATCTGTCTTGGAAGAAGTACAGCCAGAATGCTCCTTTATGGCTCCAAAATGGCAACACTTTATCTTACATACTTTGGACATGTTATCAGGAGGGACCAGTCCCCAGAGAAGGACATAATGCTTGGTAAAATAGAAGGTCAGCAAAATAGATGGAGACCCTCATCGAGATAGATTAACACAGTGGCTGCAACAGTGGGCTCCAACATAGCAACAATTGTGAGGATGGCGTAGGATGGGGCAGTGTTTTGTTCTGATGTACATATTATGGTTGCTATGAGTCAGAACCAACTTGATGGCACCTAACAACTAAGAATACTACTAACAGTAACCACTATACATTAAATGTACTTCTTATACGTTATTTCATTCAACCCTCCACAAACCGTTACAGTTAGGTATTATCCTTATTTTAAAGATGAAAAACAAGCTAAGCCAAGGAGAAGTTATATAACTTGCCAGTTTCTCTGGCTTCCTTCCAGCACTGCTGCTCGTCAGATCAAATGGATGATGAACGTGATCTCCAGGAATGCTGGTAGTCTGGTTGGCTGCTGCTCCTTGGGTTGTTTTTGGAAACTGGATTCTCTTAGAGGAAAAGACCTTCCCAAACTATTTATAGCCTTCAGATGTAAATAGGTGCTACTTAAATGGCTTATGTCGTCATATGTGCTAAGTAAAGTTAAGCAGGTTTCTTCAAATTGGTCTTTCCACGAAACTAAACGGAACCAGAAGCAACTCTTCCCCCATCATTGGACTGTTAACATTTTAAGATGTTTGGAGGTTTGTTTAAGCCATTGATGGTCCTAGTGAATTACAAACAACTAGTCTGAATCTATTTTAGGAAGGTGCTTAAATTACAATACAGTGTACCCTGAACTGAACACAAAATACCCTAGCCGGAATGGAGACAGCAAAACTCAGGCAGTTGTCTTTAGGTCTAGAAAATCTCAAACTAAGCTGTCTAATGCATCAGCAAATCTTGCTAAATGATACAGAAATGCCATTTGGACATGTATTCTAATTTTTTAAATAGAAAGGATAGCCAAATTAGACTGCCTCATCAGTATCACCCAAGGGATCTGAGAACAGACCAGGCATTGAAGAACATCAACCATTATTGGAAAATGGCTTGAGATGATCATTCGAAGGGAACAATGACAAATGTTAAGAAAATTAATAGGGTAAGATGTATAGTGAACTAAAAGAAATCAACTTCTCAGAAATTATTAAATCATCTACATGTCCCCATCCCTAACAGCTGTCCACTATAGAGTTTTAAGATTACTAGGCTACATGAGCATATGTTTTAACTATTATATATACATAGAGGTGTGTGTGTGGATATATGTATATAGTGTGTGTGTGGAATTATCCTTGGAATTATCATCACTTAAACCCATCGCCATCCAGTCAATTCCGACTCACAGCAACCCTACAGGACAGAGTAGAACTGCCCCATGGGTTTCCAAGGAGTGGCTGATGGATTCGAACTGCCAAGTTTTTGGTCAACAGCCGAGCTCTTAACCACTGCACTGCTAGGGCTCACCAATCAAAAAGACTGGGGTAGAGCCAGTAGACTCAGAGGTCTGGAAGACAAAAGAGGGTTTCAAGAAAGGAGTGCTCAACTGGGCCAAAAGCAGCAAAGAAGTCAAGTACTAAGAAGTACTGAGGAGTCCCAGTGGATTTAGCAACCAGAGTCACTGGTGACCTATTAAGAACAATTTCAGTAGATTGATAAGGGCAAAAGTCAGTTTATAGAAGGTTAAGGAAAGAAAGGGAGGTGCTGACAACCTTTCAACATTCATTTCATTCATTCACTTTTCCCAATGTATATTGATTGGCTATTGTGTGTACACTGGCAGTTGGCTCTAAAGGGAAGGACAGAAACAGAAGTTAAGGCTTTTTAATTTTTCCCAGGTACTATGAGCTCTTTTAACAGCCTACAAAATGTTAAGTGCTATGGTTCATTCCTTATGCTTTACATATATGATATATTGCAAACTGTTGAAAACTATACACAGGAAGCAAAGTGGTTAGTATTCAAAGTGGTCAGTAGTACAAGCCTTACGTAAAATATCTTCACACGGGTTCAACGGATTCATGATTACACCTACTGGGGCTAATTTCTTCACTCAAAGTTACCCATTCCCTGTAGGTGAAGACTGAGGCCCTGAAGTTATTTGGCCATCTCTGCAGCATCAAATGGTATCTTCTCAAAATGAAAGTCCTTCCACCTTGCGTACAGTGTCTGAGTTCCAGTGGCAACATCCTCCACCACAAAGCTTTCAATTTTTATAACTGGAATCTCAAATGTCTTGTACTTCACATAGATTCCCCAGTCATGGCTGCAGTCCTGGCGGGCACAGTATATCTTTGCTCTCTTCTCAAAACTCCCATAGCTCTTTGGTTTGGGATGTGGCTTACTCACAAAGCACTCCCTAAAAGCATCTCCAACCACAGCGAATTGGCTTTCCTGTAGACAAAGGGATAGAAAAACACACAAGAAAACATTAGAACCAGTACACAATTGTGATTTTAAAAAAATCATCATCATCGTTTGAGGTGAAGAGCAGGTACAATTTCACTTATTTTACAGATAGGGTAAGAAGCAAATCTGGATTCGCCGGATGACCAATCAGAGACTAGAATCTATGCAGCCTGACTCCCACTTATGTAGATGGGGTGGGGGCAGGGGTACAAGTAAGGTGAAATCATACACCTCATGAACAAGATTCAGAGGTTTTTAGGTAACCTAGCTTCATAATCGTGGTGTTGTGAATACTGAATATACCATGGACTGCCAGATGAACAAATCTGTCTTGGGAGAAGTACAGCCAGAATGCTCCTTTGAGGCAAGGATGGTGAGACTTCGTCTCATATACTCTGGACATGTTATCAGGAGGCACCAGTCCCTGGAGAAAGACATCATGCTTGATAAAGTAGAGGGTCAACGAAAAACAGAAAGACCCTCAACGAGATGGACTGACACAGCAGCTGCAGCAATGGGCTCAAGTGTAACAACAATTGTGAGGATGGCGCAGGATCAGGCAGTATTTCATTCTGTTGTATGCAGGGTCGCTATGAGTAGGGTCCAACTTGATGGCACCTAACAACAACAACTTCATAAGGTAGATACTGTTCATTAATTCATGAGCAAAAGGGGTATTTGTTGAAGATCTGAGTTCACCAGTAGCCCTTTCATGCACAGTTCAAAGGGTACAGAGAAGAACAATAAAGGGTCAGTGTGGATCTGAAGATGATCAGGGACTAAACGGTCCAGAGGCCCCCTATAGTCAATTTTAGAATAAACCTGAAAAAAAGGCCAAACTGCACAGAAACAAATGTAGATCCAACATACCAGTCCTCAGGAAAATGTACCATCTAGAAGGGTTATTTTCAGTCACAGAATTAGAGCTGAAAGGATCATTTACAGCTAAAGAGGCAGACTCAGAAAGTTAAGGGGACCTGCCATATCATCCCTAATATGCTTCTTGTCCAAACAGTTGGACTGATTAGCAATTTCAGCTTTCTGAAGAACCAAACAGAACACAAATTCACCTGAACCAGCCCAGCCATTCCACTCTCCCCCACATTAGCAGCAACAGAGTAACACAGAGCTTTTGTCTCTGGGAACTTTTTTCAAGAACTTCTCTAACACTTTACCTAAGTTTTAACAAAAAAAAGAAAAAAGAAAAAAAAAAAACATATACAGAAGGCTAACCTGAAGACGTCATATTTTAAAAATAAGGAAGTATTTTGTTTTCATGATAAAAGCAATTCATATCCCAAAGGGAAAGTCTGGAAAACACAGAGCCCCTATGTCCCCTAGTCTTTTCTCTGTTCAAAGGTAGGTTTTCTGTTTGATTGTTTTATTGTTGTTGCTGGTGAGGGTGGTGGTGCTGTTGTTCCATGTGGCTATAATCATAGTGTGTTTGCAATTTTGTACCCTGGCTACTTTGTCCACTTTACCATCAGTTTGTAAGCAAGTTTTTTTTTTTTTTTTTTCATTATACTACATAAGTTTCATAATCATTGATGTTTCTTTTAATAAACTTTATTTTGGAATAATTTTAGATTAATTAAGGTACAAAGACAGTCCCAAGAGTTCCTTTATTCCTTCACCCAGTCTCTCCTTATGCTAACATCTTACATGACAATAGTATTTTCGTCAAAACTAAGAAATTAACATTGGTACATTGGACTAAGCCACAGATTTTACCAGTTTATCCACTAATGTCCTTTTTCTGTTCCAGGATCTAACCCAGGATACTACACTGCACTTAGCATAACCATCATTTTGAATGGTTGCATAATAATTAAGTGGCTGTGTACTTAATGTGCAACAATTTTTAAAAAAAAAAAACTTTATTAAGGAGCCCTGGTGGCTCAGTGGTTAAAGCGCTCAGCTGCTAACCAAAAAGTCAGTGGTTTGAATCCACCAGCTGCTCCATAGGAGAAAGATGTGGCAGTCTGCTTCCATAAAGATTTATAGCCTTGGAAACCCTAGGGGGCAATTCTACTTTGTCCTATAGGGTCACTATGAGCTGGAACTGACTTGACGGCAGTGGGTTTGGGGTTTGGGTATTTCTTTATTGTTGCACATTTAGGGTTTGTTTTTTCACTCTTTAGCTTTTTGTAATATATGTGGACCATGATCACAGTAACACTCAAATGGAAATAATAGTATACTTACTATGAACACCTCACTGATAGCAAGCTTTAACCACTGCTAAAGAAGTGACCAGGTGCTCTTTGTAAAAAGGCTGCTTACCTCAATCACTCTTACATCGACTGTGTAACATGCAAAGGCTTTGCACTTTCTACAGAGCAGTTTTTTCTTTTTCTTGTCAGGTTCAGGTTTTGCTTTTCCTTCATTATCTCTGATGAATTTTTCTTGATTCTGTATAATGCGAAGCTACATGTAAAAAAAAAAAAAACTTGCAAATTAATTTGAGTATAACGTAGTAGATATATATATATTATGTATGTATATATAAAATCATTTATATACTTCCATGATCATACAGTACCTGGCTTTGTTTCTAAAAATCCCACAGTTAATTATATTGGTTTCCCTAATTCTTTATTAGTCAATGTTTAGCTGTGGTCCACAATTAAACTTCTAATTTCTTCATCAAAGATGTCCATAAAAGCACCAAAGATGTCCATAAAAATAGTCACGTGAACCATGCTTTCCACTTCAGTGGTTGGCAACACTTTAAAAAATCCTTCACAAACAGATATATAATATGCATTGACCATTTCAGGTATAATTACACCCAGTTCTAGGCATATACCCATTGAAGGGAACAGCAGGAAGAAAAACCCCACCATCAAAAATCTTTTCTCTTTCTCCCCTTCCAACCTCAAGGAGTACTGCTGAATTCCAGTAAAGGTAAATGTATGTATGGTATGATGGTCTTCAATTTCAAAATCTAGGCCTTGGCTAAATACAACTAAAAATCCTGGACATTACACATAAAACAAATTTAAGAAAACTCTGCAGGGTGAAGAGAAGGCAGACCAACTAAGTACCTTTGGACCCGAGGAAGGCCACAGTGGTGAGTTCCCTGGGTTTTCTTTTTGCCACATATATCCCAGACTTGGGGCTGAAGAAACCAGCCACCCAGAAATGCCAATGGTTGCAGACAAAAAACCCCCAATAAAAGCCACCTCTCTCTAGCCAAAGGATTAGGAAAGGGTAGCCTAGCAAGACAGAAAACTTCTAGACAATAACTGCTCTACTCCAGCCAAATATATTTTAAAAAAAAACTGTGGCCTGACCTCCACTCATGCTAGCAATATTGAGGATCCTAGACTTCTAACCTCATGAGGCTATAACAAAGTACCCTAACATCCCTGCTGAGGTGGTGTCTGAGAAGGCCAGGACTTTCATCCCTGCCAACTGGTAATGACCACCACCCCTTGTGAAGACCACATGGAGAGGCAGAACTGCCAGTCTAGCAGTAACAAGCCCCCCACTTGCTGGTTATCAGAGGAGGCTAAGTGGCTCTACCAGACTGCCTGGGTTCAAATCTGAGCTCCACCACTAACTAGCTGTGTGACCTAGTGGCACTGAATCTCTTTATGCTTCAGTTTCCCTCCTATAAAATGAAATAATAAGAGGCTCTACCACATGGATTTTTGTGAGGCCTGCATGTGTTGATGTAACTGTTTTGCAGGACTTGGGAAAGTCCGAGTTGTGTTTGCGAGCGGCAGTTATTATTGTTACTGTGAATGGAGTATCTCCCGCCCCCTTAGATCGTTTCACTGGTTACTGACGACCCATAGAGAATATTAATCCCTGTAGCACTTCAAATGCATATAAAATTTAATTCATATATTTAAAAATTAGGCCTGGAATTTGGGTTAGGAAAACAATCAAAATATGAACTAGGGACAACAGAAACTCAAAAAGTTAGATGAGAAGCACGGGGGCAGTGAGTTTATGTTAATGGTGGTAAAATAATTTGGAAAAGGATAGCAAGAATGCCATCAACGTGACTGAATTGTACATGTAGAAATTGTTGAATTGGTGTATGTTTTGCTGTGTGTATTTACACCAAAAATATATATATATATGAACTAACTTTTCTCTGAAGACTTTTTGGATGTTACAAAGAGGTTTGAAGAAGAGACTAAGAAGAGCTATGTCTTACAGGGTTAGGATATAGTCCTCAAGATGAGCTATCAATTTAAAAGCAATTCTAGCTCAGTTTGCCTTTTAGTTCTAAAAGCACAACTTCAGGTATTAACACTAGTAAAATATATTTTAATATCATTGAGACTTCAAAACAATGGATTTGATCTGCACTAAGGACAAAACATTAAGCATGAACTTATTGTTCTAACACAATACTCTGAGCAATATGATAAAAGGTACCTACCATGCTCGCATCGTCTTTTGTTATTTATGGTCAGATTCTGAAAGAGTAACACGGATGACTTACCTTTTTTGTAAATACTGCTTCATCCAATTCCTGAAGGCTTAAAATGGAGTCATTCATCAGTTTTTCTTTGTATATGTTTATTTTTTCTTTTTCAATTACATCAGCATTACTAGTCACAAGGAAGCACTTGCTACCTTTTGCTCTTCCTCTGCCTATCAGAAAATAAATGTTTTATTTGGTGTCTTTGACTTAAAAATCTGATTCAATCTGGGAATAGGTAAACAAAAGGTCTCCCAGGGTACATTGTGACTGGACATTATCAGAAATACTGCTTTAAAGACAGTCCAGCATGCACCCTTCAGTAAGATACTGTGAGGATGCAAAGATGAATAATAAATAGATCCTCCCTTAAGAACCTTCTAGGCAATGGGGACATAAGGTATGTTCACAACCACCAGAACATAGGTGGAAAATTATAAGTGCCACAAGAAAGAGAGATATAAAGAGTTATGGGCGTTCAAAAGAGATCAGGCCAGCTGGGGAACGAGGCACAGGTGATATGGAGATAGGGGAAGAGTGTGAAACAAAGAGCATCAGTAGAGGCACAAAAGCAAGACCTCTGAAAGATTTCTACAAGGAATAAATTAGGAAGTCAGGTTGACTAGAGAGGATAATGAATAAAGGAGAAGAATGGAAAATAAGGATGGAAAGGTAAGTGGGTATTGGATTTTGAAAACTTGTTAACATCAAGTAAATTAGGGAACCACTGGAGTTCCTACAGAGAAGTGACATGCTCAGAGCTGTTTTTCAGGGAAAGTAATGTATCAGCTGTTGTTATGGGAATAGGAAAAAGGAAGAGAAACTAGTTAGGAAGCTATCTAGTCCAGGTGGGACAGAAGAACTCTATGGAGTATCTCTTCTGGAATACAGGGGCCCACCAGCACCACAGATGCAACCGTGAGAGGTCCACAGGTTGACTGGCAAAGCCTAATCCAAGCTGGAATTATCCTTCCATGTATATGTCTGTCAAGGATGGATAATTAAGCAGCATTAATTGTGAAGAAGAATCAAAATACAGTATCTATTAATGGATATGACTGTAATCACCCAATGTTGATCAGGTAAGCCACCTTTATGGCCAAGGATACCAGAGCTCACTCTGCCAGTGGCCACACACCCAAACATGGCGGAGTAAAGGGGAGGGGCCAGAATCATACACACACAAACACAAACACACACACACACACACACACACACACACACACACAAATCAGACAAAATGGCAGCTATGCAGCAAGGGCATCAAAGCTTCCCTCACCTCTGGTTTGAATCATTTTGATGACATTGCCCACATATTCATACAGGATGACCAGATTGCACTGAGCAATGTCGATGCCTTCATCTGCAACCGAGGTGGCAATCAGAATCTTGCTATCACCATTGGATCTGAATGTGTCCAAAACACACTTCTGTGCTGGGAGTGTCATACCTGTGTCAGAGTCAGAGGGCATTATATAGTTACCAAAAGGTATTATTATACATTATACAATTACCAAAGAAATAACTTTCCCCTTGATAAAAGTAGCTATTAATTATGGAATGCTTTCTTATATGGCAGGTACCATGGTAAGGGCTTTATATTCATTATCCCACAATAACCATAAGCAGTAGAGTCTATTCCTATCCTTCTTTTAGAGAGGACAATTTGGGTGGTATCTAATAGTTTGGATTCTGTCACAAGACTGCCTGGATTCAAATCCCAGTTCTGGCACTCACTAGCTGTGTGACCTCAGACATATTACATCAAGACAGTGACTTTTCTGCAAAAATGTTAATAGCTAATAGTGATTTATATTGCATAGTGATTTATAGCTGACAAAACATTTTCATACCCACTTAATGGACCTTCACAAGGCCATTTTATTTAGGTCAATGGAGTGCGTGTTATGATTTCCCTTTACAGATGAGGGCCCTGAGGTTCCAGAGGTATGGTAAACTGATAAGTTAGTGAGCAGCAGAGTTGGCCTTGAACTTAAGTCTGGAATTCATATTTTGGGGTTTCTGTCCTCCCCATACTTCTGTTCTCTAAGAATCATTCCCTGCCATACCCACAGGGGTGAAAACCTGGGCAACTACACTTAATTTATGTTTCTCTATGGCACACACAATACTATGTGTTCACCAAACTCTGCTTCTTTCTCCTGCTGGGCACACAGATAAATTACACTTTCCAGCCTCCCTTGCAATTAGGGGGGCCTTGTGACTTAATTCTCACCAACTGGAAGAGATCCATATTTATGCCTAGTCCCAAGAAAGGTGATTCAACCAAATGTGGAAATTATTGAACAATATCATTAATATCACACGCAAGTAAAGTTTTACTGAAGATCATTCAAAGGTGGCAGCAGCAGTGCATCGACAGGGAACTGCCAGAAATTCAAGCTGGATTCAGAAGAGGATGTGGAACCAGGGATATCATTGCTGAT